TACCCCACATCAACATAACCTGGACTCTCACCCACATCAACATAACCTGGACTCTCACCCACATCAACATAACCTGGACTCTCACCCACACCAACATAACCTGGACTCTCACCCACATCAACATAACCTGGACTCTCACCCACACCAACATAACCTGGACTCTCACCCACACCAACATAACCTGGACTCTCACCCACACCAACATAACCTGGACTCTCACCCACATCAACATAACCTGGACTCTCACCCACATCAACATAACCTGGACTCTCACCCACACCAACATAACCTGGACTCTCACCCACACCAACATAACCTGGACTCTCACCCACACCAACATAACCTGGACTCTCACCCACACCAACATAACCTGGACTCTCACCCACACCAACATAACCTGGACTCTCACCCACACCAACATAACCTGGACTCTCACCCACATCAACATAACCTGGACTCTCACCCACATCAACATAACCTGGACTCTCACCCACACCAACATAACCTGGACTCTCACCCACATCAACATAACCTGGACTCTCACCCACACCAACATAACCTGGACTCTCACCCACCTCAACATAACCTGGACTCTACCCCACATCCGAAATGCTCAAAAGAGGTGCATTTGCACCTGGACGTGCCTTGAGCCCACCAACACATCGCAGATAGAAAGTAGCCATTCAGTAGCCAGTAGCCATTCAGTAGCCAGTAGCCATTCAGTAGCCAGTAGCCATTCAGTAGCCAGTAGCCATTCAATAGCCAGTAGCCATTCAATAGCCAGTAGCCATTCAGTAGCCAGTAGCCATTCAATAGCCAGTAGCCATTCAGTAGCCAGTAGCCATTCAATAGCCATTCCGAACATTCTGGCGTTTCAACAACTGATTTATGTTGGCCTTCTCATGGTTCGGGTTGGCATCCCCGAGGGCGTGGCACCGAGGCATCACCCGCTACACCTCATACAATTCACATCTGGCTCCGCAGCGTAAGAGAGAAAAAAATGGGTGAAATATTTGACCTTTGTGAGTAAGACAAGGGCGCCAGCGAGGGTGGAGGGCTCCGCCTCACAGTATGGCGGGGGAGGATGGTGGGGGGGGTGTTCCTAGCCGGCCCCACTAACACATAAGACAATAGGTCTAAACTGTAGGCTGAAGCACATATATATCATGATTGTAACCATGATATATATATGTACTTCAGCCTACAGTTTAGACCTATTGTCTTATGTATGACCCTCTATCCTGCGTGACAGCGAATACCAGCATTATCCTCACTTTAATAAGACTAACAAAATCCTCAGATTAGGCAAAATTGGAATTAATTTTGTCAATAAAGATGTTAATAATAACAAAGCAAGTTTTAGGAATAGTCTAAGCCACCGAGGACACCTCTGTGAGGCTAGGAGCAGGCGGCAGACTGGGAAAGTAATGGGATTTTGCAACTTATAAAAGACGATGCACGACGAATTTTGCTTACCGGGTAATCTAAGAGCAGTTAATTGGTGTATGTTAGCTTTTCCAGAGCTCTACTGGGGGTGAAGAGTGTGAAGACCCACCCCCAACACCCCCTCCCCCATCACAGACCCACCCCGAAGACACCTCCTCATCACAGACCCACCCCGAAGACACCTCCTAATCACAGACCCACCCCGAGGACACCTCCTAATCACAGACCCACCCCGAAGACACCTCCTCATCACAGACCCACCCCGAGGACACCTGCTCATCACAGACCCACCCCGAAGACACCTCCTAATCACAGACCCTCCCCAACACCTCCCCCGTCATTTCCTGGTGGTAACTTACACTGGCAGTAGCCCAAGACACTCGCCAGGTGAACTTGCACAGGTAAAGGTCAAGCTCAGGGTTATCCCACACACAAACATCCTAACAAAAAACGGCATTTAAAGTCTATATCACACTTTGTGTTTTAAAACTATCACATTTCTAGCGTAAGCAACATGACCACTTGCTGATAATAAATGTGTCCGTTTCTGTGTTTTGTCTACAGTTTAGAAATATAAGCGAACATATTTTAAAATGGTAGCCCTAACTATAATGCATTTACTCTAAAAATTCAACTCATATTCTAAATTTGCAACCATCCTCCTAAGATGATAGTACTGTACAGCAACTACTTGATCAAACGTATCAATATGTTGTCTTAAGACTGCCAAAAGTTAAGATTTATACTATTGATTTTACAGCCTGAGAAAAATGCTAAAAGGAAACTTAAGATGATGATTGATTGATGAAGATTAAGCCACCCAAAAGGTGGCACGGGCATGAATAGTCCGTAAATAAAAACTTAAGCATTCCTAAGCCTAGTATAGCTCTCATATATATATATATATATATATATATATATATATATATATATATATATATATATATATATATATATATATATATATATATATATTATATATATATATTATATATATATTATATATATATAAATATATATATACTATATTAGGCCTAGGATTACTTAAACATGCTAGGTTACGTTATGTCACGTTCCTTAGTTATATTTCCGAATTTCTAGAATGTCATTTGGGCTAATTTGGGCAGTCCCCGTGGCGCAGTGGTAAAACACTCACCCGGCGCTTCGCAAGAGTTTTGGCCTGGGTTCGTATCCTGGCTGGGGAGGATTGACAGGGCGTCAGTCCTTAACTGTAGCCTCTGTTCACCCAGCAGTGAATGGGTACCTGGTTGTAAAACGATTTGGCGGGTCGTATTCCAGGGAAAAATTAGGATTAAGGGACCTGCCTGAAACGCTACGCTTGCTGGTGGCTTTACGAGAATATAAGAACTCTTGTATATATAAATAAAAAATAAAGAAAATCAGTAATATAAAAGGTGAACACTTGGGGGTCCAAGAGTACATAGTGGTAAGCTTAAGCAAATAGTTGTTATAAGTACTATGAATTAAGGAGGGTGGGTTCCCGCCAAACACACACCGAAACTACGACGTTGGTACAACGTTCGAACAAGTTTTAACACCTCCTAACCAGTTATAACAACCAATATAGCAAGTTGTAACAACGTTCTAATACGTCATAAACACGTTAAGCCAATATGTAATAACTTTATTACAAGTTGTAAAAAGCGGAAAATAGTGACAGTTTCGGTTTGTGTTTCCAGGGTTGGGCGTTGTGGTACCCTAACTGGTTGTAACTCCGAGTGTAACTCTGAGTACACCCGAGTGCTCTGAATGCATCCGAGTGCTCCCAGACTAACTCCGAGAGAGCGCTCAGAGTGTAACTCCGAGAGCAAGGCAAGATAGCCACCCACAGTATCGGCTCCTTCTATTTTCTGACCAATTCCTACTCTAATTTTGCCGTTATCGGGTGAGCTTTTGCTATCACTCATATGACGGCTGTTTTAAGTACGAGGAGGAAGGCGGATAATGGCTTATCTTCTCTGAGGGTGGGGTTCCTTAATTGGCTTAATTACCGAGGTTGCTAACGAGTTGACCCTTCTGCATGCACTTCCAAACAACGAGAGACTGGTGCCATGCTTGGATGAGTCCTGGAGCATCACTGACTCGTATCAAGAGCTTTAGTGAATATACTTACCGCTTGAGCAGGCGGGGAGCAGCGTCGGGGATTGTAAACCAATATTGTAACACACATGTTGCCTATATTGATTGAATAATAGTTTTTTTATGATGAAATGAATTTATGTATTGCCTCTTAACTTCTGGTGTGAGCTGCAAGGCGGGATTCAGTGTCCAGAAACTCAACACACACACACACACACACACACACACACACACACACACACACACACACACACACACACACAAACCGATGCTCGAAAGGCGGGATCCAAGAGTCAATGCTCGATCCTGCAGACACAACTAGGTGAGTACAACTAGGTGAGTACACACACACACACACACACACACACACACACACACACACACACACACACACACACACACACACACACACACACACACACACACACACACAAGGTCCTGTTGAGTGACGGTTGAGAGGCGAGACCAAAGAGCCAGAGCTCAACACCCGCAAGCACAATTAGGTGAGTACACCCCTACCTTAAATGGAAGCGTATACATATTAACTTACACACATATCCTGGTGTAAATCACTACCCTCGCCCCCCCCCCAAGTGCCTCATAACTCACCACACAAGCACAATATGCGACGGTCAGTGTAACCAGAATAAAATATATTCAAATAAATTCCAGCGAAAATACTAAAAAAAAAAAAATAAGTTACTCATATTGTATAAACACATTCGTATCAAGATACAAATGCACACACACAGATACAATACGTACAAATATATTACCAAATCCAGAGGATTATATAGACAGAATAGGAAAATGTTTGAAGGAGAACAGGTGTTTAAGGGTGAGAGGAGGAGGGGGGGGGGAGGGGGGGTTGTGTCTCAAGAAGCTAGGAGCTGCCTAGCGGAGCTGAGTCAACCAATCGAGCCTCTTTTTTGCCTTGCAATGTTGCGATTGACTGGGCGGCGATATTTACCAGTAACCCAAGTCCGTGAGAAATGTTCTTCGGGTCAGTGTGTTGGGCTGCAAATGGCTGTACAATAGCCAGAAACAGCGTCCAATCCCGGAAGATCTAGTGAGATCTGCTCCTCGTAAGAATTATAATTAGTCAACGTGTCCAATCCCGGAAGATCTAGCGAGATCTGCTGCTCATAAAAATTATAATTAACCAACGCGAATTTACCATTAACCAAGTAGCCTAATGTGAGAGGATCTGAGGGTGAGGCTTTCTAAATAATTCTGTTTTAACGAATTATTTGAATCATCTAGAGAGGACCTTTATTGCTGCGATCTAGAGCCATTACTAACACGTGACAAATATAGGCTGCTGGGAGATGTGCTGACACGCTAAACTGTTGTTATGATTGATTGATAAAGATTAAGCCACCCAAGAGGTGGCACGGGCATGAATAGCCCGTAATAAACTGTTGTGATCTGCCTGGAGTAGCAGCAGCACGTACCTCTTGGTGGACCAGTGGAACGCGGCCTGCTAAGACAAAACCTTGTTCTGATTGGACCTCTCAGTACCTGGAAAGATGCAGAGATCTCAATAACCACACAATGCTCTGCGAAATATAAATAATAATTATAATTATTAACATAATTTGCAACAATTACAATAACATTATATATTTTTATATATACAATTACGCATATATTTACAATTATGTATAGGTGTTTACACTTTAGCATCAGTAACTTTGTTCAGTATGTGTGGTAAAGCCAAAGACTTGTGTTTGTGCGGCTGACAAGGCACTCGGAACACTACTAGGCTTACACTACTAAAGCCTAGTACTTACACTACTAAAGCCTAGTACTTACACTACTAAAGCCTAGTACTTACACTACTAAAGCCTAGTACTTACACTACTAAAGTCTAGTACTTACACTACTAAAGTCTAGTACTTACACTACTAAAGCCTAGTACTTACACTACTAAAGCCTAGTACTTACACTACTAAAGTCTAGTACTTACACTACTAAAGCCTAGTACTTACACTACTAAAGCCTAGTACTTACACTACTAAAGTCTAGTACTTACACTACTAAAGCCTAGTACTTACACTACTAAAGCCTAGTACTTACACTACTAAAGTCTAGTACTTACACTACTAAAGCCTAGTACTTACACTACTAAAGCCTAGTACTTACACTACTAAAGTCTAGTACTTACACTACTAAAGCCTAGTACTTACACTACTAAAGCCTAGTACTTACACTACTAAAGTCTAGTACTTACACTACTAAAGCCTAGTACTTACACTATTAAAGCCTAGTACTTACACTACTAAAGCCTAGTACTTACACTACTAAAGCCTAGTACTTACACTACTAAAGCCTAGTACTTACACTATTAAAGCCTAGTACTTACACTACTAAAGCCTAGTACTTACACTATTAAAGCCTAGTACTTACACTACTAAAGCCTAGTACTTACACTACTAAAGCCTAGTACTTACACTACTAAAGCCTAGTACTTACACTATTAAAGCCTAGTACTTACACTACTAAAGCCTAGTACTTACACTACTAAAGCCTAGTACTTACACTATTAAAGCCTAGTACTTACACTACTAAAGCCTAGTACTTACACTATTAAAGCCTAGTACTTACACTACTAAAGCCTAGTACTTACACTACTAAAGCCTAGTACTTACACTACTAAAGCCTAGTACTTACACTATTAAAGCCTAGTACTTACACTACTAAAGCCTAGTACTTACACTACTAAAGCCTAGTACTTACACTACTAAAGCCTAGTACTTACACTACTAAAGCCTAGTACTTACACTACTAAAGCCTAGTACTTACACTATTAAAGCCTAGTACTTACACTACTAAAGCCTAGTACTTACACTACTAAAGCCTAGTACTTACACTACTAAAGCCTAGTACTTACACTATTAAAGCCTAGTACTTACACTATTAAAGCCTAGTACTTACACTACTAAAGCCTAGTACTTACACTACTAAAGCCTAGTACTTACACTACTAAAGCCTAGTACTTACACTACTAAAGCCTAGTACTTACACTATTAAAGCCTAGTACTTACACTACTAAAGCCTAGTACTTACACTATTAAAGCCTAGTACTTACACTACTAAAGCCTAGTACTTACACTACTAAAGCCTAGTACTTACACTACTAAAGCCTAGTACTTACACTACTAAAGCCTAGTACTTACACTATTAAAGCCTAGTACTTACACTATTAAAGCCTAGTACTTACACTACTAAAGCCTAGTACTTACACTACTAAAGCCTAGTACTTACACTACTAAAGCCTAGTACTTACACTACTAAAGCCTAGTACTTACACTATTAAAGCCTAGTACTTACACTACTAAAGCCTAGTACTTACACTACTAAAGCCTAGTACTTACACTACTAAAGCCTAGTACTTACACTACTAAAGCCTAGTACTTACACTACTAAAGCCTAGTACTTACACTACTAAAGCCTAGTACTTACACTACTTGTGCTAAATCTATAAACTGAAGATATTCTCTTGAAGTAGAGCAGACATCACCGGGGTTAAAGATGAAGGTGTTACTGGGCATGCGCACCACCGCCTTGGGTACATGGCACAGGATCAATCTCAAACTATGGCGAACAAGTTACAGCCCCGCTCCTGTGCCAGGTAAGTCCACTACGGGCTCACCATAGTCCGTGCTACTTGGAACTTTTTGCTCTCAGTAGCTGAATCTATAACAACATCAAGCTATGGTCACTCCCGCGGGTCTCCTGGGGTACTAAGGGCACTTCCTGAAGGCAGCTCAGTACTTAGTACTCAACAGTAAAATGGGTACTTGGTTGTTAAACGATTTTTCGCGGGGGTCGTATTCCAGGGAACATAGGATTAAGGACTTGCCCGAAACGCTACCCCGTGCTGGTGGCTGTACAAGAATGTAACAACTCTTGTATAAATAAATAAATAAATAAATAAATAAATAAATAAATAAATAAATAAATAAAGTAGCAACCAGTAGTAAGATTACAATCAATATTGACTTTTGTTTTTGTTCAAATTGAATTCCCTGTTCATCTGGATTATACCTGCAGTGGGTTCTGGAGTTGATCTACTCCCCGAGCCCGGCCGTGGGCCAGGCTTGACTTGTGATAACTTGGTTCAACAGGTTGTTGCTTAAAGCGGCTTCCAGGCCCACATATCCACTACAACCCGAGTGGTCTGCAGGAACGTGTCTTATATTTTTCTTGAAGACGACCACCTTTGTTCCGGCTACATTTCTTACGCTCGCTGAGAGGGTATTGAATACCCATGGACCTCTTGAGTTTTCCTAGCGTTCTCGGATTGTACCTATACCACCTCTACTCTTCGTTGGTTCTATGTTATATTTCCCACCAAGCCATTCACTCCAGTTTTACGGGCTATTCATGCCCGTGCCACCTCTTGGGTGGCTTAATCTTTATCAATCAATCATTAATCACTCCAATTCACGGGAGACATCTCCCGTCACGCAGGGTGCAGTCGCACCTCCACAGATCTCCAGTATCAGCTATTGATACTGGTAATGGCTCAAAAGGGCCACCACTTACGGGCTAATGCCCGTAAGTAGTGGCTCATGCCCGTGCCACCTTTTGGGTGGCTTAATCTTTATCAATCAATCAGTCACTCCAGTATGTTGCTATTTTATTGTGAAAATTTGGGAACTGGCTCGTCTTCCGTGTATATTTGATATCTCTCATCTTGTTTCTAGTAAGTACATTTTGAGAGTTTGATAAAGTCGCTGTAACTTCGGTACTTTATAGTGTCGATGCGTGCCGTATATGTTGCCTGCATTCCCTCTTATTTCATCACCTGCTCGTGCTCTTAAAGAGGAAGTGAGAATCGAGCAGTACTGAAGGCGGGGCAGCACAAGTTCCCTAAACATCAGGTCATCTGACATCAGCATCATTCCCAGATCCTTTACACGTTGTTTTCCTACAATGAGTAGGCCCGGTGGTCTCTTGCACCCTTTATTTTGTTTACATTTCTCATGTTGACCAGACCACACACTAGAAATTGAAGGGACGACGACGTTTCGGTCCGTCCTGGATCATTCTCAAGTCGATTGTGATGAGGAGGTAGGGACAGGCAATAAATAGGCAAGAGAGACCTGAGGAGGAAAGTCAGGTGTAGGGGATAGTAGTAATGAGAGGATAGTAGTAGTTCGGTCCAGGACGGACCGAAACGTCGTCGTCCCTTCAATTTCTAGTGTGTGGTCTGGTCAACATACTTCAGCGACGTTATTGTGACTCATCGCCTGCTTACATTTCTCATCTTTAGCGAACCAAAGTACCTAGAACTTGTCTCAGTTAAACATCATGTTATTTTCCGCTGCCCAGTTGAATGAAGACATTGTTGCGATTGACTTAATATCACAAGTGCCTGACTAGCCTCATCCTGTCCAGCCCGAGTCCATCCTGTCCAACAGAGTATTAATACAGTGGTTTTCCTGCACCTGTCATTAGTTATGTAATCAAATTACCTTATTGATTCTGCATCATTATTAATGGCAGTCGATAGTGTGGGCAGGTGGCAGTTGGGCAGGTGGCAAAACAAGACAAAATTAAGGCAGGGTCAGTGGAACAAGTGGATAGACGCTGCTGCTGTTGTTGTCAATGTTTCTGCCACTGTTGTCACTGTTTCTGTCACTGTTGTTACTGTTGCTGGTGCTGTTACTGCTGCTCTTAATTCCCCGTCAGCCGGTATTTCAGCTGTGACTTATGCTGCCGATACTGTACTGTTGCCACCACGTTATTCCCTCAGTGTTTCATCCTAAACAAATTTCCCCTCTTTGTATGAAGGAGGAACGTGAGCTGAGGCCAGGCCGAGGCCCTCCTGCCCCACCTAGCATCACCACCACCAGCATCACCATCACCACCACCACCACCATCACCAGCATCACCAGCATCACCATCACCACCACCACCACCATCACCAGCATCACCACCACCACCACCACCACCACCATCACCAGCATCACCACCACCACCACCACCATCTAGTGGTCTTAACATGGCTCCACAATGTTGTTGTTGTCTAAGATTCAGCTACTGGGAACAAAAAGCTCCAGCTTAGCACGGGCTATGGTGAGCCCGTAGTGGATTTACCTGGCACAGGAGCGGGGCTGCATGTGTGGGCTCCACAAGATGCTTCTCATATATACGCCAGAGCATCACCTGCTCAGCCAGAGCCACTGTATGCGTGAGATGGTGTGTGTGTGTGTGTGTGTGTGTGTGTGTGTGTGTGTGTGTGTGTGTGTGTGTGTGTGTGTGTGTGTGTGTGTGTGTGTGTGTGTGTGTGAGAGAGAGTCTCACAACTCACAAGTTCACGTGAGCAGAACGCGTGCGAGTATCGGGAGAAGACAGGCAGAAAACTCCAGCTGTCTGGAGTTGTCTGCCTGTCTGCTCTCAGACAGACAGACAGGCAAAAGAGGCAGACAACTCCAGCTCTCTAGCCTCCCCTCCTTCTCTAACGGACCTCCATACCGCTTCCAGTAACATTCCCCGAGAGCCAAGTTGCG